TTCTTAACCACTGAGGTTAGGCCCCCATGCCCTCTTTCTAAATGTAGAACCTCACATAACTTTCACATGTCCATAAAGGAGCTCCCTGTGCAGTTGTTATCCCCACTTTAAAAACTGAGAAAATGAGACCAGAGGAATCTCAGGATCCATCCAAAGTCACACAGTTGTTCACAGGACAAGCCATACAATCAATATGTTTCCAGAATTCTCACCTCTCATCTGTAGGTTAAATTTCCTTTGTTTATATTCTGTATTCATTTAATTTTGTGTAAACTTATGAATGAATAACATTATATGAGATCTCTTCTCGATATTGTCCATATATATAAATATATATTTTTTTTTCCTTTTTTTTTTTTGATAAAAGGTCTCATAGACCACACCATTCAAAACTCTGTATGTGGTCCAGTCTGGCCGTGAACTTACAGAAATCCTTTTTTCTTAGCCTCCTGGGTGCTAGAATTACAGGCTTGCAACTCTGCATCTGGCTATATTGGTGTATTTTCTTCCCTAATATCATATTATCGCTAATATGCTTTTGAACCATTCCCTGTATACAAGTCTTGTTCTAGTCCTATATAAAGTCAATGCCATGTTTTAAAATAAGAGAGTAGATGGGAGTCAGCATAGAGCCTAAACAAATCCAAGTCATAAAACATCAGTAGTTTAAGCATCAGAAAGCCTGCAAAGGAAGAATTCCCACATTACAAATAACAGGCACACTTCCTTCTTGCCCAAACACACTAACTGCTATTCTTAGTTATCACTTACCTTCTAAAAAAACTTAAACAGCAAAGGATCAAACAGGTATACAGCAAAATCTAAACTTTTCCTTTGAAACTCATTTTAAAACCCAAGCCTTGTGATGATCAGTGTGCATACTGGCTTAGGGATAAGAAAGGCAAAAAAGGATATCTGGGGAAAGAAAGGGGGAGCCTGAAACAATTTCACAGAGAATAGGCAATCAAAACAAGCCTTGGTGATGGTGACTGGGAGAGCATGGAGTGGAGGAGGGCATTTTTCAAAAGCACTGTCCATCTTGAGTAATGAAATGTGCCCCTGAACTAAAGCAGGAATTAGGGCAGACTGAGGCTTCAAACATCAGACATTAAAAGCCAGAGTGAGTGAGGAATGTAAACTGTCTCAACAGGCAGAGGTGTTTACATCCCAGAGAGGATCAGAGCCAGCCCAGCACTCCAGGAAGAACATTTGTCTGAATAAAGAGGAGGGATGAAAAGGTCTTCAGCACGTGTAAATACCATGGAGGTAGAAGCCATTGGACTTAGAACTGGATGTACTGTAGGTATGGATAAAAAGAAGTTATAGTCAAGAGAACAACAGATTACATTTGAAATCCAAACACTGAGCCAGTAACCAAACACTTCCCAGGTGGTATCAGATGGCATCCTTGGCAAAAGTAAAGATGGAGAAGGCAGAAGAAGCCATTGTAAGGAAAGCTGGGATTCATACTTTAATGTGGCTCCAATTTCCTTGCATTTTTCAACTTAATTACTGTGAATGCTGAGGTTTTATGTCAAAATATAAGCAACCAGAAATTTAAGCTACACAGGCATTTTGTTCTAGGATTATTTGACTGTGTTTTCCTGTCTTCCAAATTGGTGTGTCACAGCTCATTCACTGACAGAGCAGCTTTGACACCTGAAGGTGGTGTATTTCGGACTGTGACATCTGTGGCTCAGAAAAGCAAGCTGTGCACTTGGGTGTGTGGGTGGGTGATGGTAAGCGTACACAACAGAGGAAATCTGAAGGAAATGGACATGGGTCATTGTTCACTGCTACAGGATACATTACTCTAAGTAAGCTGTGACTTTGCTGTGTGAACAGCAGTTTCTACTTCTACATTATTGTCCTTCAGAAATCACCACAAAAAGATACATGTATGCACACACACACACACACACACACACACACACACACACACAAAGAAGGGGTGGGTCATGGGAAGATGGCTGAATAGATCAAGTGTTTGTCACACAAACACAAAGAACCGAGTTCCATTGCCAGCATCCATATAAAAAGCCAGGTTTGGTAGCTGTAATCCCAGGGCTAGAGAGATGGAAATGTGCAGGTCCCTGGGGTGCACTGACCAGCCAGTTTAGCCTAACTGGCAAGCTCTCAGCCAGTAAGAGAGTCCCTCTCAAAGACAAGGTAGAGGGGCCCAATGAAGGACACCTGAGGTTGTCTTCTGTCCTCCTCATGCTCATCATGCATATACATGTACCTACTTATAAACTTGTGCATACATGCATACACTGCAAATAACTGAGCATGATACATCTTTGGCTGCTAGACCATTGATGCTAATGATGACCTGCATTAGCAAAAATGTTTCAGCATTTTCCTTTAGAGCTGATGAAGCTGTTAGATTCATGTTTATATTGCACAGGATACTACACACAATAGGTACTAAAAATATGTTGACCAGAGCTCAGAGCACTAGGCTGCCTCTGCTTTAATCTGCTCTACATTACCATCAAGTATGCACCCCTGAGGATTCCCAGATACAAGGAGTTCTTTTTCACCAAAGATACTGCAGAATTACGGCCAAACACCTAAATGCATGGTCAGTGGATTCAGACCTGGGAGACTAGAGAGATTGGTTCACTGTTTAAGATTACTTTCCGCTTTTGTAGAGGACCTAGGTTCGTGCCAGGCATGAGCACCCATGTTCAGTGCCCAGCATGAGGACCCAGGTTCATGCTCCCCATCATAGTGACAATGGACTGAACCTCTGAACTGTAAACCACCCAATTAAATGTCTTCCTTTATAAGAGTTGCCATAGTCATGGTGTCTCTCCACACACAGCAAGTGAAAACCTTAACTAAGACATGTACTATGACAAGTATGTGAGATAAATCATATTATAAAGACAAAAGCTGATTTGGACTCATGAAGGTTCCAGTCCATGACTGATTGACAGTTGTTTTGAAGGTGGTAACACATCATGAAGCAAGACAAGCTGTATGCTTACACTTAATGGAATTGCAAAGGGCCAGGAAGGAAGAGGAGAGGAGTCCTGGTCTCCTTCTTAAGGACACTAGTCCTATTTGTATGAGCTCTGCCTTTATTATCCCATTGCTTCTCTAAGTCCTTACCACCTCATTCCATCACCATGGAGTAGTTTAACAAAGCACCCAGCTCATACATAATCAGTGCTCAATAAACCTTTGCGTATATGGTTTGAACTGAAAACTCCATTGATGTATTTGTCATTTTCATCACCTATTCTGTTTCTATAGCTTTGTCAATAGTTTAGCATTAGTCAGATAAGAACTACCTTCTTGCTACATACTGTTCCTTTCCAAATCTACCTTTTTTAACACAGAAAAACATACATTTTGTATGGCTTCCTGCTGTGGGATGGTCTATATGTTAAATTACTCTGATTGGTCAATAAATAAAACACTGATTGGCCAGTGGCCAGGCAGGAAGCAAAGGCGGGACTAACAGAGGAGAAAAGAAAGAACAGGAAGGCAGAAGGAGTCACTGCCAGCCGCCACCACCATGACAAGCACCATGTGAAGATGCCGGTAAGCCACGAGCCACGTGGCAAGGTATAGATTTATGGAAATGGATTAATTTAAGCTATAAGAACAGTTAGCAAGAAGCCTGACATGGCCATACAGTTTGTAAGCAATATAAGTCTCTGTGTTTACTTGGTTGGGTCTGAGCAGCTGTGGAACTGGCAGGTGACAAAGATTTGTCCTGACTGTGGGCAAGGCAGGAAAACTCTAGTTACAGCTTTCAGACTTATCAAGTTATACATTAAATTTTTTGGAACTGAATTAGTATTTATTGTTTTGAGAAAAATTTCCATCCATACAACCCAAAAGTTTCCCATTTAAAACACAGCACTCCACTCATTGAAACATCGGTTTTGAGTCCTTTGAGTTTTATAGTTTCCTGTTTACAGTTTTGAAGTTGCTTCTAGATAACCATACATTTTTTTTAACTGCTGAGAATGTACTTTTTACATCATATGTATTCATTTCCAGTGCATGAAAAGCTCTTGCAAATTTTCTCAGCATTTTATTCTTTTAAAATAGCATATTGCATTCCATGGGTTCTGTAGAAAAATGTTCAATAGTTATCTTAGTGTGTCAGTCCATGTCTTCATGAGTCTGTCTTAGCAGACACTTCTGCATCAGTCTAGGTCTTCATGGGTCTGTTTTGGTGTGGACAATTCTGTTTTACTCCATGTTTTCATGGATATTATTATTTAGTATGGCTTCTGGTCTCAGTTTTTTTTTATAGAAACTCTTCAATCTCATAAAATGAGTCCTCTCTGTAATATTTCTATAATTTTGAAATGGCTTCTTATATAGTATTTTTCCAAAACGAGCCTTTTAAACAAAAACTAAAACATGATCATAGATTTGGGGGAAATTCTACAATAATCTAGTAATAATATTTTCTAATTTGAAGGAAAGAGAATAGTCAATATTTTTGACATTTTATTCCTGGCCATCCTTTAGATAAAAGTTTTCTTACATTTCAGACCAGAGGAAATCTGGGCATAGAGACTCAATGTTTTATCACAGGCTATAATATCTATTAAGTAATTAAGGAGGGATTTATATGTAGTATATCTAGCTTCAAGGCTTACTCTTCCCACTGTATGCTAAATTTAATTCAGTGAGCTACTAGACTGAGCCAGTCACCAAAAAAGACAAGAAACTACGTGCTGGCTTGTGGCTGATTTGCCATGCCCAAACAATTTCTGTCTCGCTCTTCCTGTAAGTGGCCTGGAGGGACCTGTGAAAATGGATTGCCACTCTCTTAACCCAGAAAATCATGCAAGCCAAGAGATCAAATCTTTGTTTTCACTTTAAAAACATGCCTGAATCTTCCCAGGCCATCAAGTGTGTGCATATCCAAAATGCTACCGGCATCTGAAAGATGTCATTCTGAAGGAGCTGTGCATGCCATTTCCATGATTGGTTTGCTTAGTTTTTCTAAGAACTGATTCTAATATTTCCAAACTTGCTCAGTATTTCGAACTTTTAAAACTGCATATTGCATTCCCTGAGATTCATAGGAAAATACTCCTTGTCAGTTCATAGTTCAAGCATCACATACTGGTGGCATCAGCACCTGTGCTCAAGTCCACACAGTGGGGCTGGACTTGTGGTCACTGACCCAAAAGCAGTGCTCAATTTTTGTTGCATGTACTTAAAAGAGCAGAGAGCACATTTGAGCTTCCAGGTTTAGATGCAGATTCCCTAGTTACTGAATATATCAAGGTCAACAAGATGTGAGCCAAAAATACAATGTTCATGCTCAGAATAACCCATGCCACACTAAGATGAGCCCCATGGAGAAGGAATAAACTGTTCCTAAGCCATAGGAGGGGCCATCACAGAAGAAAGAGATACCCCAGAGCAAACTGCAGAAACAAAACATATGGCATGGGGATGCGGTGGTATTGTGTTCCCCTAATAAACTTATCTGGGGTCAGAGACAGAACAGCCACTAGATACAAAAGTTAGAAAATGGTGGCACTCACACCTTTAATCCTAGCATTTCAGAAGTAGAAATCCCTCTGGATCTCTGTGCATTCAAAGTTGCATTGCAAACAGCCAAGTATGGTGACACACGCCTTTAATCCCAGAAAGCGAGCCTTTAATCCCAGGGAGTGATGGTAGAAAGGAAAGATACATAAAGCATGAAGACCAGAAACCAGAAGCATTTGGCTGGTTAAGCTTTTAGATGGTTAAGCTTCAGGCTCTCAAGCAGCAGTTCAGCTGAGAGCCACTGGGATGAGGACACAGAAGCATCCAGTCTGAGGAAACAAGACCAGCTGAGAAGTTGGCCAGCTGAGGTTAGCTGTGACTTGTTCTGTCTCTCTGATCTTCCAGAATTCACCCCAATACCTGGTCCGGGTTTGATCTTATTAATAAGGACTTTTTAAGATTCATACTACATGGGGATAAATTCAGCACACAATAAATTCAAATAGAGGTTAAAATAAAATTCTATAGGTGTTCTGAAGGATATCTCAATGAAAGCTATTTCAGTTGTTCATTTGTTTTTGTTTTTTGTTTTACTTTGTTTTGCCACCATTGTCTATGAATATTAAAATTGATGGATTGTATGGAAGTAAAGAAGGCAACGGGGCTTGTGGAATGATTCAGTTGACCAAGGTACTTCATGACGAACCAGAAAATCTGAGTTCAATCCATGGCCTCCACAAGGTAGAAGGAGAGAATTGACTGATACAAATTGTCCTCTGTCATCTAAATGTGTTCTCTCCATACCCATACACAATAAACAAACAAACAAATAAATAAATAACAATGAAAAATTTAAAAGTCAAAGACACAATCAATTTGAACAAGCTAGTTAATCAAATGGATTAGAGAAAAGACATCTAAAACCATCTAAAGAACTGAAAAGCAGAACTATAATAATGATATTTCAAATGAATAGAAACCCTTAGCTATAAAAAATGTGTAAGATATGAATAACCAGAAAAAAAGACCTATCAGGTTAAGCCAAATATGAGTTGGAGGAATGGTTGATGAATCTACTGAACATAATTTCAGAATAAGTGAATGTCATTGTTAATTGACTGTTGCCAAGGGTCAAGATAATCATTCTATATGTGGCAATATATATTTAGTTCTTGTAATATTCTTTAATTGGTCATTATCAATTTCATTGGGCCCAAGAAGAAGAAGAACATCTCAGAGAACCCCAAAGCTCTCCACAGTTATCAGAGGGATACTTCAGAGCACTCTCCATATAGATCAGGGGAGCACTCCAGAGAACCCCAAGGCTCTCCATGATGACTATGAGAACACTTCAGAACACCCCAAGCCTCTCCATAAGGATTGGGGGATGCTGGAAGATAGGGAGTTCACAAGGTATTCATTCACACTGGATGCTTCCTCATCACATCTGGAACACCCTCCAACAAACGAGAGCCTCTGCCTCTACTTACCGCTACTCCCGTCTTGTAGAGGAGGTAATGCACAGTCTGTGTGACGTCGGCAGCATGCATCAAGTTGTGGTAAGGATTTTTGTGCTTGCTGTACCCCACTTCCAGGGCCTCCACAAATGAGACAAGTGCAGAAATGGGGATCTGAAAGAGAACAGTAAGCTTCATTCACTGAAGGACAGACTTACCTTAAGAAAAACATTAAGGTCCCCACCTTGCTCATTTTGGGGGCCGTTGTGGATCACATGAGGAAGCAACAATGTTTAACAGTTAATTAAATTCCCTGGTGAAACTGTCAGAGACATTGAAAATCTTAATACCAAGTCCCTGGTTGAAGAACAGTCAGTCTTACAAATTCCTCAGTTCAGGCTGCTGTGGGAGGTTCTGTATGGCAAATATGGCCGCCAGGACAAGCGAGATGTAAGGTACTGGTAAGCCACAAGCCACGTGACAAAGTATAGATTAATAGAAATGGGTTAATTTGTGATAGAAGTAGATAACAAGAAGCCTGCCATGGCCATACAGTTTATAAGTAACATAAGAGTCTGTGTATTTATTTTATAAGTGGGCTACAGCACTGCTGGACTTGGCGGAACCTGGAGAGAAGCTTTCCAGCTAAATCAGGCAACCAAACTATACAGATTCATCTCAAAGACATTTTGTTTAAAATGTAAAGCAGTGTTTTTTGATGTACACATAGGCAACCCCATTCGTTATTGGTGACTACTAAAATTCTGTATTTCTTTGTAGTTTATCTGTTCTTAGTCTTTTCCTCCAATCCCAAGAAGGAAGAGATGCTACGCAGGACCAATGTTATAAACCATATTGAGGAACTTACAAATTCCACTGGGAATTACTGTAGTTTATGAAATTTTTAACAATTTGTAACATTTCACCAGCAGAAGAAGACTTTCCAAACTGCAAGTCACTAATAATAGATCATTGGGGGGTAAAAAGACATATCCTGTTCATTTCTCATACACACTACTACACTGTGTTCCCCCATATTTCTAATGCATATAATGACCCCTTTCAAAGAACATGGCTTCGAGGAAGTCACACCAGTGGCCACTTACATCTGTCACATCACAGTCATTTTCTAACTTAAGTTTTTTTGTGTTCTTTATGCTTTCTCGTGTTAAGTATGCTGCACAGTATATGTTAATTTTTCTCAAGTCATAAAGATGTGCACATTTTCTCAGAATCACCAGTCCATTGGGATAGCATTTTCAACTGATTGCTTTTTCAGTTCAAATATGTGTAATACACACAGCTTGCTCTCCTGTATAGCAAAGATCTGCAAATGTTACATACAATTAAAAAGGACCTTCCAGATATTTATCATGCTAATTGTGAGATTATTGATACAGTTGAGGTAAAATCCCTAGTCCAAGGCTGGGGGTGAAGAAAAGGGTGTGTGTTCCTAGAGACTAACATATTCAAAAGGAAATTCAACTATAATAATCACAGCAAGCCTCTTAAATTCTAACCATTAGTGGATTCTTGAAATTTTAATTATGTTCTTTAGTTGTAGAATTCAGGAGGCAAGAGAAAGAAGGATTACTGCTAGTCCAAGGCCATCCAGGGTTACTTTGCAAGTTCCTTTCTTGTAAAATCAAAGTAAGTAGGTACTCAAGGAAATGTCTTTCAGAGGGCATAGATGAGCTTATCATTTTTTACAGTTAAGATCAAGGGAGCTTGGGTTTTGGGGCTGCTCTGGCAGTCTATGAGCCAGTGAGAAGCTAAGTAAAGGTGTTCACACAACTTTTGTTCCAAGAAAAGTGTCTCCAGTACCCATGGTTCCTTGCAGTTTCTGATGTAGGCACAACGAAGGACAAAGGACGTTGCCATAAGTGATTTGTGGTCATGTAGAAAGCATGTGCTTCAATACAGCTCTTAAGAAAGTGACAAAGACTTACTCTGTCCAGAGACATCAACATTTGTATGTAAAACAACCTACAACGTTCCAGAGATACATCACACTCATCTGATGAATGAAGTCTGAGGAAATAAACTGGACAGAGGTTCCCTTGAGGACCTGTCCTGATCTGAAAAGGCTGTGCAGGTTGGTGGCTGAGGGGCTGACCCTGGACATAATATATTCTCTTTATTTAAAGCAAGGAATTAATCTGAAGCATGGGTGGCTGGGAAACACCAATGATCTGTCATGGATAAGTGGGAGTGTTGTCTGAATGCGGCATGGGGTGGGGGGAAAGTTTATGGAAGTTGCTAAGCTCACGCTGTCTCCATTGCTACCTCTCAGCCAAGAGCGGTCAATAGGGCACATAGTCATGATGACGTGAGGTGGAGTGCCCATTGGTGGGCAGCACCTAGGGCAGACTCAGCTACTGTAGGCAGTGCTTCTCAGAAGACAGGTCTCCACACCACTTCTCTAGTCTGCTTTCCAGCAAGATCCACCAGTCAGCATGTAAAGAACAAAGACTTCCACAAGGAAGATAGCCCCATTGGAATGATGGCCACAGTTGCCCACAACAGTTTCCTATCTACTTAAAAGGATTCCCTTGGTCTTGACATAGAAATCATGTGAGGATAGAAATTTTTTTGCAGTTTATCTTTTTAATGGGGTACTGACCTTAAAACGGCTGATCAGGTCATAGCGTGTGAGTAATTCATAGAAAATGAATTTCAATGCATGATCTCCACTGGCCTCATTGAGCGAAAAGACGTCAAAGGACCACTTGTCCACATCCTGCAGGACAGGGCAGGGAGAAAGCACTATTAGTTCATATCACCTGTGCAACTGCTAATCTATCCACGTTTGAGTCTGCCGGTAGCCCACACCTGTGACTATATGGCTCAAGACTGAAGAACTCTCGGTAGCTTTCTAGTGTGGTAGCACAAGAACACTTACTGTTAAAACAAAACAAAAACAAAAACAAAGAACTTTATTATCCAGCAGAAATATTGACAGGCATCATGAGTGGTAAAAAAATATGTAATTTATCAAACAATTCTTAGGTGGTATGACAAGTTACATTTTACAGATGAGAAAATGGATAGTTACCTAATTCCTCAAAGGCCTATTAGAAGTACAAGCTTGGGACACATGTGGGATGAGGACCCCTATGCCTTCCACACTAATGCCTCCTCTTGGGCTCCTTCCTTCAAGACCATCAACTAGCATTCTGGGTTCAAACCAGCTGGGGCACATCTCTAAATGCTCTCCAAGCCACTAACCTACTATGTAATGATATCCTCTGAGGCTAGAGTTGACACTGTAAAATCATTTAAAAGTGTGCAGAAGCATGTATGGTATAGAAGATAAAAATGGAATGCCACTTCAATATCCATGGCTAAGATGCACCCAAAGGGGAAAACCTTCACTTCAAGAACAGGAAAAATGCTCTCTGGAGCCACAAATCTGGTGACAAAGTTCTCCTATTGCTCTAACACTTTGGTGAAGGAAGGAAATGTAAAAACTGAACTGGACACACACCTTATATGAAGTACCTATTTGTTCACAAATACTGGCTCCAGAACACATGTAAACATTATCTTGTGTTCTTTTGACACAGCAACACCAGCCACTTGTGGACATAATAAACAAACATGTGTTTAAATCATAGTTAAATTGACAGGCATTTGGTGTCTTCATCACAGCATGGGTATTTCTCCGACACAGGCCTCATCCCCTAAGTACCCAGTGAGGACCCAGGACATAGATACCAAAATATACCCACAACTTGGAGTGTTGCTTGTGTTCTATAATTGGATCACTATGAGTCACAGTCACTGTCTGATACAGTCCTGAGGAGAAGGACACTAACAGCTCCAGGAAATGAGTAGCAGAGTGGGTATTCTGTCTGGGCCTTCATTTCAAGAAAATCTTAACTGTTATTCTTGAACTTCATTCTTCTCCCAAGCCACTTAGGGACTCTCTGAAAATACTAAGGATGCTGTAGGCCTCTGAATGATCCTGAGCCTGGAATTTGCATTTTAATGGGCACCCAGTTGAAGCACCTTAAACATGATTTCTCTTTTACCAAATTCTGCTCAGGGATAATTCCAGTCAAGAAAGGTGGAGAACATCCAGGTTAGCACAGCCTAAGAAAGCTGGAAACTGCTTATTTCCTCCCGTTTTAAAACTATCCAAGGGGCTGGTCCTGAGCCACAGGACAACTGCTCTTCTGAAGAACAGATCACTTCTGCACCTCTAGAACCCCACCCCAAAGGCTAGAGATGAGATGAACTTAGAAGGTATTATGTACCCAGCGGAGAAAGCACCAAGAGTGACACACAACTCCCTTAAAATCTACAGCGAGCAGTGTTAATTACTCTCTTACTTAGATGTCATTTTATGCCACGTTCTTACATTAACTGAAAAGGTTAACATGACATGCCACAATGGTTATTTTAGTGAACTGAATTCTCTGTCTTTGAGAAATTTTTCTGTACTAGAGGAAATCAGTAGTGGTTTCCATATAAATGCCAGCAGCTCGGGGCAAATAACCTTTTCCCCAGCAGGTTCTAAAAAGGAAAAGCGACCCCATCTCTGTGCTGTCCAACCCACTTCAGTCCTCCGGCAATCAAAGGCAAGTGTGGAGATCTGGAAAGACACTACAGTGTCGAGAGGACTTGAACTTTCTCGATCAACAGGAATTGGGTCAAGGACAAAAGCTTTGACCTTAATATACACATCAGCAGACATGGGAAGGGCAGCCATTTGGAGGTAGCTGGTTCCTGCTCTGACCAATCCAAGTGTCTTTCTCTCAGAAGGCCACATGGACTTTTGAGGTTTCCTTTCCTTAAGCATCGAATAACACTTCGTTCACATAACGTGTTGTTCCACTTTTTGATTTTTAGCGATTTGTAGAAAAGAGACATTAATTTGGAAGATACACTCTCATAAACAGCCCAGTATCAGTGAGCCCAGTTGTATTTGTATGTATGACAAAGGCAGAAATAAAGGTTTAAGTAGGCTTCTAACGCTCCTAAGATTTACACTGAGTGTTTCAGTTCAATTATGAAAATCAATGGCAATTTCATTGTGTTGTTAGGAAACAGGTCTTATGAAGTGGTTCTGCTGGCGAGATGGGAAACATCATTGTAAACTACACTGATGGGTCAGCCATTAGTATGGGGGCGTGTTGCTCCTCACAGCATCCTTCCTGCTCTTAAGATGTGAGGAGGAGGAAAAAATGTAGACAGTGAAAAGAGAAATGTGAATCCTATATATACAGCCAGTGAATGTCTCTAAACAAAAGGGAAATCCATGAACATAATCAAAACTGTCCAATGGGGTGTGCTTTTTACGTTAAGCTATTCAAGAAGCACTCCCCCAAATGGGTAATTTATCTTCTGAAAGTATCACCAGGTTATACTTGTTGCATGTTTCAGAGAAAGACAATACTAGAAGCCAGAATTCCACAATGCCACTGTACAAAGGAATGGGTGTTAAGTGCAGACAGCACATATAATATCAACCAGCACAAGACACTGGACCCTAGCCAACCCCACCTGGCAACCAAGGAACACCAGGAACACTCCAGACCCCTGAATTTGACTCTCCCCTGCCTCAAGGAACATTTCTGTGTTGGGCCTTTTGAAGTCATCTACATAGTTTTCAGTATGTTTGATTGGGAGTTACCATGCAGGGTTCAGCGTGCTTAAGACAAAACCATATTTGAATGACTCCCCATGGAACACCTGGCTCAGTGCAGGTCCTAGGAAAACTGCAGGATGTCTCAAGGGGACAAGGGCTCTGGAGTAAACAATCATGCCATGAAATGTTACTGAGAACATGCCAAGTGCTGGGAACACTGTGACCAAGCCTCAATTCTAATCCCTGATTAACTCTGATTTTATTTTTCTTAAAATTTTCTGTTTTTTTTTTTTGTTGTTGTTGTTGTTGTTAATTTTCTGAATTGGACTTGGAGTAGGCAATTGAGTATTGATAGAATTACAACCAACAAATTGGACTTGGAGTAGGCAATTGAGTATTGATAGAATTACAACCAACAAATTTCTTCCTAAGTTCAAACACTTTTGCTATAATGCACCTATCTCTTGTGGCTATTGCTACATTAATCTCATCATGGCGATCACTGCAAAACCAAAATCCACATGGAGGTTAAAGATTGAGAACATAGTAATACTACTAGAACAGATAAGAAAACAATAATGACAGATTAGGGTAGGAATAACAGAAAAGTACAGAAATGAAATATTGTTTTCTGAGAACAAATTTAACTGTACTCTTCATTCATTTCCATGTACCCCATAAACCTTTTCAACAGCCTTACCTTTAATGCATCAATAACAGCTGGTGGATAGCTCAACCCAACCATGTTTGATGTTCTCCTGTACATTCTGGCAAAGATGGGGGAGAAAACAAAATGTGATACCTTACAACTGACTGTTACCACTTCATAGACCTGCACACACATGAACAATTGATGAGTACTCAGGTCATCTGGTGACCCAAGGAACTTTAAATTCCAAAGTTACTCTAGTGCCCTTAGAGATGAACTAAAAAGAGATCAAGGCAACCTCACACACACGTGTAGCAAGTGTTTTCTCCACTCCTGCCCAGATTGTACTTGTTGCTTAATAAACACAAAGAGGCTTAATATTATTTATAACTGCTCAGCCATTAGCTCAGGCTAACTACTGACTAGCTCTTACACTTAAACTCAGCCCATTTCTGTTAATCTATATGTTGCCCCATGTTCCATGGCTTTACCTGTGTGCCATTACATGCTGCTCCCCGGGCTGGCATTTCCTCACTCAGCCTTTCTCTTCACAGAATTCTCCTTGTCTGCTTATCCTGCCTATACTTCCTGCCTGGCTACTGGCCAATCAGTGTTTTATTTATCAACCAATCAGAGCAACGCATTCATAGCATACAGAACATCCCACAGCACACACAAGCCACTGGAAACAAAATTAAATTAAGCTTATGTGCCCCATATTGGACACTAAGTTATTAAAAGGGATGATGTGTTCTGCCAGCACTGGCTGCTGGATGAGAAGCAGGGTACATTCTTGTACTTAATCATGAAGGAAGAATCTGTATGGACAACCCTCCAGAAATGCTTTTTCTCCAGAACTTCTAAAAGAAGCAAGTAAATGTCCCAGGTAAACTTTGAAATCACTACCATGAAATTTCCAAAATGTGTAACTGTAAAGTAGAGAATAGTAGAAGAAACGATTCTGTTTCTTGTAGGGAACAACTCAGTGTCAACAAGCTGGCAAACTATGTCACAGGGAACTCAGCTCTTATACTGTCCTCCCTGGCTCAGCACCCTCAAAGCACTACTGGTCTATTCTGATGCTATCCATGTATTTGGAAAAACATGGGTCAGATGACTTCTGACTTTAAAAACAAGACTGAACTTGATCTAAATCCTTAGAAGATGAGGATTTGAGCAAAGGGAAAAGCTTGTCCTAAAGATGTCATGAAGATTAAAATACTTGTTTCGACTTAGAAATGTGAGTTTTTATAATAACGTATCAAAACTACACTAGAGGAAAGCTTAGAGTCATGCGGCCTGGAGCTCCTCCTGTTGGTTTGGCCCTGGAGTCACAATGAGTTTCACCTTTACCTCTCCACAAATATCCCAGCTTGCACCGCATGGACGATGCTCTTGAACCTGGGCTTCTCATCACTTCTCCTAAGCATCATCCCCATCTGTCTCGTGAAGGTGGAGGCCAGCCAATCTCGGACCTCAGAAGGCACAGCATCTGACTGAATGTCACTAAGTTCATCCTCTGTATCCAGAAGTCTCCTGAAAATAAAACACATAACCAGAGACTGAATCTCAATCTAGAATTCTCTGAAGCAGCTGCCCCTCTCTACCCAACCTGAAACACAGGTACAAAAACATGATATAAAATGGGATACATACACACATGGGGTCAGGGGAGCAGTGTTTTGCAAGGCCTGTGAAAGCTCACACTGATATATCTCCTTTGACTAAATTGGATCTGGCCTGCTCTCCAAAGACACAAGCATAAAAATGTGTAAAAAGCTAAGACCCAACCAGTGACAGTATTGGGAGAAATGCCTAATGACTGAAAACATTGCACAAATCCCAACAACCAAGTGCTCTGAAGCAATGATTTTAAGGGATACCAACTGATGCCCCTTTAATTCAACAGGAGATAATAGGATCATTATCTAAATTTAAGGAAACTTCCCCAAACAGAACAGTTCTTCATTTGAGCCCAGTGACTTAAGCCATCTGTGAATATGCTTTTCTGATTTGCCTAACTTATTTGGGCAGAGCACTAGAAAGGAAGAAAAGTAGTTATAATAGAACCAAAAATACTGAATGTCATCTATTTAAACCCTATTAAAAATAAGCAGTAAAAGTGCCCATCAATATAAAGATGCTTTTTATTGTTGTCATGTGTTTAGATATATTTATTTAGGTAAAGGAAAAAAAACTGTAGAATCAAATTCCTGAAATTAATAATGAATTGCATCATTAAAAAAATAAGCTCTTGGGTTGGGGATTTAGCTCAGAGGTAGAACGCTTGCCTAGCAAGCACAAGGCCCTGGGTTCGGTCCTCAGCTCTGGAAAAAAAAAATAAGCCCAACAACCCATAGAGTGTAGTGAAATCCTTTCAGATTTGAGTTTGGTGAATCAAGACATCACAAATACTGAGAAGTCTGTCTTACTAGAGACTTTCACAGTTGACATTTCAACAGTTTCCAAAAGGAAGCAGTTCTATTTCTTTCAAAATTGATTTCAGTGCCTACAATTGCTCTAGCACTTGTACAATTCAAGTGGAAATGTTTGCTGAAGGAGGAATACTGGGGACCTGATCACATTAGTTGCTGACTGAGATGATGGATTCAAACACACATTTTAGACTGACCTAATGAGTACGTCACAGCATAGTTCCATCACAGTGGGACTATACAGCTGGGAGAAACCTGGACAGGCTTCTAAGGATTGCCTTTTCTGCTCTGACACCATTTTATCGTCCATGCAGCAAGTTCTGTTGGTCATTTCATAGTTGAGAGAGCAACTGTTCTAGCTCTTTCCTATAGGTCAAAGGTCTTTCAGAATCAGTGATCTGAACCACACCCCAGACTGACATTGGGGCCGGGGGACTATTAAACAGAAAATCGAGCATTGCTCTCTTAATCTCTTTACTAACTTACCTTGTTTCATCGATATATACAGATTCAAGTACTGTGGCTGCGTATTCCAGGTTCTTCTTAAGATCTACCACAGAAGCCTCCCCTCGCTCTAACTGCTTGACCAAAGACCGTAACCTACGGAGGACAAGATGACTTCATTAGAATAAAGGAATCAAGGAATAATTCTAAAACTATGATGACACATCTTCCTATAGTTTTGAACATTGTGTTTTACTCCAATATATCTTAATGAAAAAAAAAGTCGCAGTGCTAGAGTAGCAAGTTATAAAATAACAAAAGGAGATCAATGTTCTCTAGCCAGGCCCTCACCACAGTCAACATTCTGTAGCATTCATTCATTGTTATGAAGGTTCTAAATTGCTGATAATTTTCTTTTTCTCAGATATGTCTCTTTTAGTCTCTAATTGGATATGGGAAAGACATCATCAGCAAACACCACCAGGCACCTCTGAGACTCTCCCTTGTTCAGGCACCTTGTTCAGCAGTGGCTGAGAAAACCATAGCCCTATAGCCTACAGATGTTTCAAGACTTATGGGAAGGTATCTTGAACCACTATAGCCATAGAAGGCCATGGAAAACTTAGGTGCAAGCAAATTATGTTGGTAGACAGGAAGAATGCCCCTAAGAAGAAGAATAGAGTTGTAAAAAAAAATGTGGCTGAGTGGTAAACTGAGGGTTCTAGATCATCCAAGAGAAATGAAGAGGCTCATTCTCCTTACACAGAAATCATTGGAACAGAGGACAGTGTGTGGGGTGGCAATACAATGCCTGCAGATGATCAAGGAACAGTAACTGGAGCTGTGGAGAACAAATACCTTTTCAGGATGTTTGGTAGTTAATGGTACTAGCAGAAAACAGTACAGACCTGGAAGTCAAATGTGGATTTGACTTTTGCCTCACAAAGTATCCTCTGTGCACATCAGGTAAGCTAGGTGGCTTCTCTGATGATTATAAAATAAAGTGCCATGCAACAAAGTTTGGAAGTTGATAGAAAGGTCAAATGCCAGCGATAATAGATAGAATGTGGAACTTGGGGTAATTCTGTAAGACGCTATTGATATAATTACAGTCATTATTGTTAATCAAAGACCTGGATCCTCACAGATACCCAGACAAGAAACGCCTTGACAGAATACTTAAGATCATTGTCACATCTCCATCGTAAATGGGTTTATGCAATCTGCCTCACCTTCCTGATTTCAAAGTACCTAGAAGCTTGCATTAGCAAGAGAGAATAGGTGGACTACTTGACCAAGTTTGCTCTTGAATCTGGAGTCGTAGGACATTTGGCTACCCCAAAACCTCAGTACTTGACAAGCTGTATGCTACTCTTCTGATGTTTATAAAAAGGACTCAAAATTAAGAAAAAAATTCCTAAATTAACCTTGAAAAGTGGGCAAAAGTATTGATTATCCAAGTATCAAGTATGCAAAAATTTCAGTATCGTAGAATACAGAGAAGAGTTAATTGAGGGTAGTCTCGATGGTACTGGCAATGTCCAACATACAGAGAGGACTCTGGAGGTCTCCGTGGGTCTGGTGGTGACCAGCAGCCTCGTGAGCTACATCCCCAGCATTAGGAATGACACTGAATGGTTGGCACAAAATAAGATGTGGGCATGGGAGGTGCTGCCAGTCATTCACACTCAGGGGACAGCCTGTCTGCCAAGGAACAGAGACACTGCATCAGGGAACCTGGCTGCTCTTGACTAAGACCAGACACTCTTTACCAGAATACATTCTCAGCTAAGCCTGCTTCCAACTCTGACTCTCTCTCAGGAGCTCAGATACCAATGAACTGGGCTCTAGGTTGGCAAAGCAAATTGAGAAAAAAAATTCAATTTTTAAAAACATTTTGCCTTATCTTGGAGATTAAAGATTCTACCAAAAATTTAGCATGAATGTTTGGTTAGGACCCATCTTAATCCTAAAACCTAAGAGCAAAGGACAAAATGGGGGAAAAATGAGGGGGACTATGACTAGAAAAACCATATGGTAGCACCTTCCTGTAACAGCTTCCAGGGGATAAATAAAAACAGCTTTAATCAAAATAAAAATGTTTGTAGACTGAAGAAAACCCAGATAAGCAAGTGAGGATAGATATTAAAAAATCAGACAAAAAAGTGAAAAGAAAAAAAATCCAACATACACCATTATAATTTTTTTATTCCAAAGAGTAAGGAAAGAAACCTGGGAAAGGCTTGAGAAAATAAAACATATTGTTTTAAAAGTAGCAAAAATTCAAGCTGGCCATGGACTTCTACCCTGTCACACACCAGAATGCAATTTAACAGTGGCATCAACTTTTTTGAGAACAATGTGGTATAATTAGAAAGACATCATTGTGCTTGGGTAGAAGGACTGCTGTACATATGTGTGGACAAGTGTAAAATGTGGCAATTCATATGCTTCCCAGAAAAGAGACACAAGCGGCTTTAAGGCACACCCTAGAAAGTGCTCCACAAGCACAGTGTGCTCACTGTCTCTGGTTAAATGGCGTGTGGATGAGGGGTCTGGCTTTGAGTATCCACTTTAGCGAACAGATGACATCTGAAGGAGTGACCAATGAGACGGAAGTTCCAAACACATGGACAACTGAACAGGAAAGTGAGCAACACCTTTACTGCAACAAGCTCCCATCCATAAACACCGCCTATGCAGCCCTTGTGGCTACCACCTTCTAATCAAGACAACTGAAATGACTAGGAGTGCCTTATTCCACTATTTTTAACCACTCTTCCTTCCAGGAAGGCACAGTATCTAGAGAATCAAGTGCTTGCCAGGCCCTGGGAAGCAGCAGACCCCAGCTGAGGTCACACTTCACCTGAGAGAAAAAGCCCACTCAGAACCCCAAGCTCCCTGCCCCAGTCAGCAGGAAGTCAGCAACACAGGGGACCCGAAACTTCAGCAAACCCAGAGAAGAATTCACACACAGAGTACTTCTAGAACATGAAAAAGTACAAACATTTACATCTTCCTTAGTCTTCTAGCTTCTGAGCTAGACTGAAGATTCCACCAGCATCCTGGCAGACAACCCAGGGAACCTGGCAGAACCTGCCAATTTAAAAAAAAAAAATCACCCAGGTGATGTTCACCTCTCTTGATTTAAAGATGACAAACGCACAAGAATATCTGAGGAAGAGTCAGCAATGGAGATGAGGAATCGATAGCACACAGAAAGCAGAGAAGACGCTCGCTGCCAGAATCAAGAAAATTCACCAAAGGAACATCTGCACAGCACTCATCAAAGTTCAGGAAAGCATAGATTTATGGAGTGGAATTGATGCAATTAAAATTAGCATGTTGAGAGAAAAGGAAATTTAAAGGAACAAAGCAGGACGACAGAGAGACAAGAAGGTTTTGTTTTTGTTTAAAGAAAGGGCTAGCCACTTTCTAACCAGCTCCCATTTGACCCAACACCCAGGATGGAGAGACACCAGAGCTTCGGGGAACCTGACTCCCAATGGTGTTGAGCGGCAGCACGGTGTGCCGGCACTGCTGACTCATGTCCCCTCAGCCCACCTCCCTCTAGCTCAGTGGTCCCCAACTCTCCTAATGCTGTGTGAGACCCCCGTTAGCACAGCTCCTCATGTTGTGGTTAACGCCCCCAACCATAAAATTATTTTTGTTGCTACTTCATAAGTGTAATTCTGCTACTGTTATGAATCATAATGTAAAAAGCTGATATTTCTAATGGGCTTAGGTGACCCATGTGAAAGGGTTGTTCAACCCAAAGGGGTCTCAACCCATAAGGTGAGAACCGCTGCTCTAGCTCTTTATCCTTCTCACTTGAAATGGGCTACCAATCGATGAAGCTGTTGTTGTATTTTTAAAATGGCAGGAAGGAGTCACACCATACAACAGGGCCCACACGGGAGGTTTATTTTGGTGAGGGGAGTGAAGGGGCAGAGACTGGTCCCTGGGGGCCAGAGTGAAGGAAGAAAAAGAGATGAGAGCCAGGTAGGGCCCGCCTTTTATAAGGGAATGTAGCAAATGCACACAGTGGGTGCTCTTAGTGGCTGCAGCTGAGGATGTATCCTGTCAGGACCCTAAGGGCAGGCCAGTACAGGTGCCTGAATGCTAACAGCTATTCTTTCTTAGGGAGAAAATCTTCAAAATCTTCAGCCACTGAACTAGTACCCACTACACTCAAAAACTGATAAAGCTGCTTAGAGTAAAGACCCTCCCATATTGCAGGTTTCCTCCAGACCTGAATCTATTTCATCACTGGCTGTGTCCAAAGTAGCTGGAATCTTTCATAGCCCCATTTTAAAGTATTTCTGCTAAACTTAGAGATAATTAACTGGGGTGGGAAGCCTGGGATAGCATCCTATGCTTTCCTAGTGAAGTGTATCTGGATATTTTCCCATGTAAACTCATTTCACAAAGTAGCTAAGGTCCAGGTCCCATTTAAAGTGGAAGCCTGTATGTTCAGAAAGATGGATATCCAGTCCATCTACTGGGGAATGGCTAATAAAAATGTGTCATATTTATACAGTGAAACATTGTCCTGCTCTTAAGAAAATGAAATCAGCTGGGCAGTGGTGGTGCACACCTTTAATCCCAGCATTCAAGAGGCAGAGGCAGTTGGATTTCTGAGTTCAAGGCCAGTCTGATCTACAGAACAAGTTCCAGGACTACACAGGGAAAACCTGTCTAGAAAATGAAAGAAAGAAAGAAAGAGAGAGAGAGAGAGAAAGGAAAGAAAGAGAGAGAGAGAAAGGAAAGAAAGAAAGAGAAAGAGAGAGAGAAAAAGAGAGAGAGAAAAGAGAGAGAAAAAGAGAGAGAGAGAAAGGAAAGAAAGAGAGAGAGAGAAAGGAAAGAAAGAAAGAGAAAGGAAAGAAGGAAAGAGAGAGAGAAAGGAAAGGAAAGAGAGAGAGATAAAGGAAAGAAAAGAAAAGGAAATGGAACTGTACGTAAATAGATAGGCTAGAAAAAAACATCCTAAGTGAGATAACTCAGACTCAAAATGACAAATATTGTGTGTTTTCTCTTACATGTGGATGTTGACTTGCAAGCTTGTAATATGTGTGCTAAAATCTAAATAACCACCACACTTAGGTCCATAGTAAAGGACCAGTGAGGAGTAGAGGGTGTCCCAAGGAAGAGGAAGT